CAACATCATATATTGGACTCCACTGATTTTGAAGGATATCCAAACATATACTTCCGTCTGCATAAACTGATCAAAAGATAAAATTCCAAGTCAAAGATCACATTAAGCTACACATATCCTTCTGTCTGTGAAACTCTTCGGAAACTGGAAGGTAAAAGGTCACGTTAACCTATGGTTTATTTTAATGCTCTAAAGCAAGTTTTAAGACTGAAAATTACAGTATACGGATCTTACTATTGGGATGGAACATCCGCGAAACAAATCTCACTGTTGGAGGCTTGTTTGGGTAATCTTCAGTGAATTGAAGTGTTAACTTGAACGTACCTGACACACTCAAATAACATTTATGACATTTGGGTTGCAACAACATTATAAAAATATAATAAAATAAAATAGTTGCTGCTTTAATCAACAAAAGCAAACATCAGACTTCAAAAGATTAAGAATGTCTTATTGTTGCAGCAAATACTTTCCATTTCTTTTATGTTAGGCATGAGATATCAAATATTTCTGAATATGTTAGGAGGATGCAATGAAGCATGGACGTTTCTATAAGTATATCCAACCAGTCCTGCAGCCATGCATTTATTTTCAATTTTTTTGCTAATTTTAGAAATCGCAGAGAGAGACTAGAACTGTTTGGTGAAGCTTTCTACTATATACAGCCTGGAGACACAAAATCCAAAAACCGCCACAACATTATGCACTTTCTAACTAATGCAAGTCAAGCTTTCATCATGTATCATTAGTAGTCCTCATATCTTCCACAAATTACTCTAACCCAAACTAAAGAAGGCATTCTCAATAGGCAAATCAAAATCCAAATAGTCTACCCCATGCAGCATGATCACCACAGGTACACAGTATAAAGATAGGACTGAACTATCTAGAGCATGTCTGTTGTAGATTTTCTCCCCAATTAGAATTGATTTTCTTCCCGTTAAACCACAAGGCAGCCTACCATTTTTGAACTTTCCTCTCTAAGGTGGCCCCCACCTGTTGACTTAAACGGTCTAATTTTCACTCAAATTTTGGAGAAAATCTCCAACAG